GGTGGCGGTACTAATTTGGTATACGATCAATGTTGTTACAGCCAGCACTTGCTACCCAAGCCGCTTCCGTTTTACGGCTTTGTCTTCGTCTTCCTTTCTTATTCTTATTCTTCTTATTCTTCTTCTTCTTCTTCTTCTTCTTCTTTTTCTTCTTCTTCTTCTTCTTCTTGTTCTTCTTCTTGTTCTTCTTCTTCTTCTTGTTCTTCTTCTTCTTCTTCTTCGTCTTATCCTTCTTTTCTCTTCTGCTTCTCTCGCGGGCTTCCACCTAGAGTGCACATCAACGTCCCTTGGGGCCACCTCTCTATGGCCGGCGGGCTTGCCGAAGGCAATGAAATAGAACTCCGATTTTGTGCGATGGAATCTTGGAAACAGAAAATTCTCAAAATGGTAGATCCCGAAGACAACACAAGTTGCACCATAGTCTATTTTATATAACTTCCTTTTTTGCGCAAATCCCGTTGCATAAGCAAAATGGCTACCTGGAACAAAGCAAGCCTTCAAAAATACAAAGGTCATTTTTGTAGAGGGGTGATGTGACAGAACCTTGGCCTCCCCTGAAAACCCTGAAATGTACAAAAGCCATCAAAAGTCTATTTTGTAGAAGGAACTCCTGTTCCACATTTCCGACAGAAGCGGGCGTTGCGCAAGCAAGTCGAAAACATGTGTTCCACCATTTTCTCTACAAAATGAGAAACCTGTAAAATCATGCAAAATCAATATAATTTGCATATTCGAATGTTGACAAAGCCCAAAACCTCTACAGAATGCGGAACCTACAGTTTCAGCCATCTACAAAATGCTCCCTCTCCAAAATCAGGAACCCGTAATTGCATATCCTTGCAGGCACATAGGCTGTCCAAAAAAATGGCTTTGGCGGACCCCTAGGTCCTCCCGATGCCCGGAACCTGCACCAAAATCTCCAAACCTCTTAAACAACCAGGGCACCACAATGGCACCACCCCGAACACACAGAACCTCCCATCCCTAAACCATCCTAAACCTGCACCAGAACCTCCCGAACCTCTCGGAACCCCGAAATTGCACTGGAAGCCGCACCGAACCTTTGCCCGGACTGAGACCCCTGAGCTAGGTCACACATTCACTTGCGCCGAAATTTTCAAGGTCTTTTGCGCCGAAATTGTAGCCCTACCTCTTTTAAGATCACTTGCGCCGAAATGTCTGTGAAAACCTAGGAATTATATAAGTACAAGCTAATTACGTGCAAAGCAGTCCATAAAACGATACTGTGGACCACCTTACTATAGAATTGACTTACCAATCTTCAATATACCAATGGTTCTACCTTTCAGGCTTTTGGGTCTATACGTTGTTGCCCTTAATGTAGGAAGAGCCACGACACCTTTAGCGCTTGATATGTTGTTGCACTTGATGTAAGAAGAGCCACGACACCTTTAGGGTTTGTATGTTGTTGCACTTGATGTAAGAAGAGCCACGACACCTTTACGGTTTGTATGTTGTTGCACTTGATGTAAGAAGAGCCACGACACCTTTAGGGTTTGTATGTTGTTGCACTTGATGTAAGAAGAGCCACGACACCTTTAGGGTTTGTATGTTGTTTCACTTGATGTAAGAAGAGCCACGACACCTTTAGGGTTTGTATGTTGTTGCACTTAATGTAAGAAGAGCCACGACACCTTTAGCGCTTGATATGTTGTTGCACTTGATGTAAGAAAAGCCACGACACCTTTAGGGTTCATATGTTGTTGCACTTGATGTAAGAAGAGCCACCACACCTTTGGCGTTTGTATCTTGTTGCACTTGATGTAAGAAGAGCCACGACACCTTTAGGGTTTGTATGTTGTTTCACTTGATGTAAGAAGAGCCACGACACCTTTAGGGTTTGTATGTTGTTTCACTTGATGTAAGAAGAGCCACCACACCTTTGGCGTTTGTATCTTGTTGCACTTGATGTAAGAAGAGCCACGACACCTTTAGGGTTTGTATGTTGTTTCACTTGATGTAAGAAGAGCCACGACACCTTTAGGGTTTGTATCTTGTTGCACTTAATGTGAGAAGAGCCACGACACCTTTAGGGTTTGTATGTTGTTTCACTTGATGTAAGAAGAGCCACGACACCTTTAGGGTTTTATGTTGTTGCACTTATGTAAGAAGAGCCACGACACCTTTAGGGTTTGTATGTTGTTGCACTTGATGTAAGAAGAGCCACGACACCTTTAGGGTTTGTATGTTGTTTCACTTGATGTAAGAAAGCCACGACACCTTTAGGGTTCATATGTTGTTGCACTTGATGTAAGAAGAGCCACGACACCTTTAGGGTTTGTATGTTGTTGCATTTAATGTAAGAAGAGCCATGACACCTTTAGGGTTTATACGTTGTTGCGCCTAATGTAAGAAGAGCCACGACACGTTTAGCGCTTGATATGTTGTTTCTCTTGATGTAAGAATAAGAAGAGCCACGACACCTTTAGGGTTTGTATGTTGTTTCACTTGATGTAAGAAGAGCCACGACACCTTTAGGGTTTGTATGTTGTTGCACTTGCACTTAATGTAAGAAGAGCCACGACACCTTTAGCGCTTGATATGTTGTTGCACTTGATGTAAGGAGAGCCACGACACCTTTAGCGCTTGATATGTTGTTGCACTTGATGTAAGAAGAGCCACGACACCTTTAGGGTTTGTATGTTGTTGCACTTGATGTAAGAAGAGCCACGACACCTTTAGGGTTCATATGTTGTTGCACTTGATGTAAGAAGAGCCACGACACCTTTAGGGTTTATATTTTGTTGCACTTAATGTAGGAAGAGCCACGACACCTTTCGGGTTTGTATGTTGTTTCACTTGATGTAAGAAGAGCCACGACACATTTAGGGCTTTTAACGTTGTTGCACTTAATGTAAGACGAGCCACGACACCTTCAGGGTTTGTATGTTGTGGCACTTGATGTAAGGAGAGCCACGACACCTTTAGGGTTTTTATGTTGTTGCACTTCATGTAAGAAGAGCCACGACACCTTTAGGGTTTATATGTTGTTGCACTTGATGTAAGAAGAGCCACGACACCTTTAGGGTTTCTACGTTGTTGCAGTTACTGTAAGAAGAGCTACGACACCTTTAGGGTTTGTATGTTGTTGCACTTGATGTAAGAAGAGCCACGACACCTTTAGGGTTTGTATGTTGTTGCACTTCATGTAAGAAGAGCCACGACACCTTTAGGGCTTGTATGTTGTTGCACTTAATGCAAGAAGAGCCACGACACCTTTAGCGCTTGATATGTTGTTGCACTTGATGTAAGAAGAGCCACGACACGTTTAGCGCTTGATATGTTGTTTCTCTTGATGTAAGAATAAGAAGAGCCATGACACCTTTAGGGTTTGTATGTTGTTTCACTTGATGTAAGAAGAGCCATGACACCTTTAGGGCTTGTATGTTGTTGCACTTAATGTAAGACGAGCCAAGACACCTTTAGGGTTTGTATGTTGTTGCACTTGATGTAAGAAGAGCTACGACACCTTTAGGGTTTGTATGTTGTTGCACTTGATGTAAGAAGAGCCACGACACCTTTAGGGTTTGTATGTTGTTGCACTTGATGTAAGAAGAGCCACGACACCTTTAGGGTTTATATGTTGTTGCACTTGATGTAAGAAGAGCCACGACACCTTTAGCACTTGATATGTTGTTGCACTTGGTGTAAGAATAAGAAGAGCCACGACGCCTTTAGGGTTTGTATGTTGTTTCACTTGATGTAAGAAGAGCCACGACACCTTTAGGGCTTGTATGTTGTTGGACTTAATGTAAGACGAGCCAAGACACCTTTAGGGTTTGTATGTTGTCGCACTTCATGTAAGAAGAGCCACGACACCTTTAGGGTTTGCATGTTGTTGCACTTGATGTAAGAAGAGCCACGACACCTTTCGGGTTTATATGTTGTTGCACTTAATATAAGAAGAGCCACGACACACTGGCCATGGACACGGATGCAAAGGTTTTGCCTGCCTAGATGACCAATACGTAGTAAATACTGCGCCAGCCTTCACCTCCACCACACCAATCAAAAGCATCACCAACAGCATCGTCATCATCCCCTTTATACGGAAATTCAGAGGTAAAATGCCGACAAACATACTTTCCAGGAGCCTGCACAGTCGACATACGCATGCACAAGAGCCACTTTATACGGAAATTTACAAAAAAAAAATCCCGCCGAACAGATGTGCACCAAGACCACGACACATCCTTGGCGGGCGCCTGCACAGTCGACATGCACGCGCACAAGAGCCACTTCATACGGAAATTGACAAATAAATACATTAAAATCCCGCCGAGCACATGTGAACTAAGACCCCGAAACAAAATTTGTGGGAGGCTGCACAGTCGACACGCGCGTGCGCAAGAGCCAATTCGTGTTGAAGCGCGCAGGAGCCACTTTATGCCGAAATTGACAAGTAAAATGCCGCCGAACAGCTGTGGACCAAGACCCCGACACAGACTTTGTGGGAGGCTGCACAGTCGACATGCGCGCGCACAAGAGCCACTTTATACGGAAATTTACAGGTAAAATGCCGATGACAATAAAAAGCGGCACAAGCGACGCAAAAAAAGCGGCACAAGCGACACAAAAAAAAGCGGCACAAGCGAACGCCTCATCCCTGAGCTACTGCTGTTGGGGAAAATAGTAGAAAAACCCTGTGCAAGAAAAATGTAGAAAATGGATGAGAGGGGTCACCTTCAACCCACCAATCACGCACATTCAACCCTATCCGTATCACAAGGCAGGCACACTGGTATACACTGGTCATATACGACCTTACCCTTTCAATCCCTTTCACATTTACAGAGCAGGGGTAAGTCAGAAGCGACCTTCCCACAAGAGTGGAGTGCAGTCATTCATATGCAACTAATTGCAAGTGACTGTACCAGGGTGAACCAGGGTGAAATGTCACCTGCATGCCCAAATGACATGGAAGGATCCCTTCCTATCAGCCGTGTACTTTGACCCGTTCAACCAATTACGGACCCCACCTTCCTCCCTTTCTTGCTCCGCCAACTCCCAGCCGGCAGAAATTTCTGAGCCTCGATGGCACTCTGTCTGCAGAGCCAGTACTGTACAGCTTGGGTGTGCTTTAAAAACACCCGACGCAATTATCCAACCCGATTCAGTGACCTAGCACGACACAACCACAACGTGGATCAAACACGCCACAAGAATACTGCCTTCCTGGTGCTGCTGCCATGGTGACGTCAGCCGATGTCAGCTGCCAACGGCTGTTGAGTCATGCACTGAGGATTGCACGAGCATCGCTGCGATCATCTAGGGCTCGCAGGGCTTTGAGGTCTTTGAGCTCTTCCCGCAAGGCCTGGTTGTCTTGCTCCAGCCTGTCGATTTCGAAGCGACGGTAGCCCTCCTGCACCAGACCAAGCTCACTCAAGTTCACTCATGTTCACTCGAAGTCCGAAAATTGGTTTGGCGAAGAATGATTCCGACATCCAAGACTCTAGCACTCAAAGCTTCGTTCGACGCAAATGACAGTTAATTTGCTGTGTGCGTGAATCTGCGTGAAGCTATGACAATTGAGCACTGTGCACGGGGCATACCTCTTCTGTTCGCAGCAGTCCTGAATTGTCAGTTTCTCTGAAACCTTCTCCTCCACTATCTTCGCAAGCTGCTCCTCAAGGAGCGACATCCGCATCCTGCAGCCACGACATCGACAGCACAGGCAGTACATAACAAATGTATCCATCTTTGCAGGACACGATTGGCATCCGGAGAGCTGACTTCATAGTGTGCACCGTCACAATTGTTTGAAAATCAAAAAAAAAAGATGACAAACCTGGCTCCTCAGAGGCCTTAAGAATAGATCAGGATAGTTCAGCCATAAATACACTAGGCTCTCGTCATCTATTTCAAGATGTCAGAGATTCGTTCCCACATAAAGTGAGACATATTGAGACTCTGGAACCTTGGAAACCCGGGAATGCACCGAACACAGAACTTCATTCTTCGGACCCTGGATCTGCTCCAGTACCATTACAGTGCCCGCTACCCTGGCAAAAGAAAAAAAAAATCTGATGCTGGGAGGAAAGGAAAATATGCAAACCCTGTGCCTGTTTCACAACATTTTGCAGGTTTAGTTAAGCTGGACACGGTGCCCCACACTTTGTGTCCAAGATTCGACAGGGCAGTGGACTCTGGTGACGCACTCACCGGCGTGTCCTGGACATCAGTTTTGGTTTTGACACTCTCATGCCGCAGGCTGTCAAAATTCTATCAATGTCAAGAGGATGACAAGGCTGTGACGCAAGGCTCACCTGTACAGGGAAGATGTCAAAGGTGCCAGCAATCTTGGCCTGCTCCTAGGCGGTGCACAGCTTGAAGCGACTGGGCCGAAGCCGAACCCATCCGAACCCGAATGCACACAAGTCAGGAGCAAATGCACAACTAAATGCTTAGATATGTTAAGTGAAATTAAGTTATATGATACGTTAAAATGCAACAGCAATGGAAAGTCGTGCGTCAGAGACTAGCATGTTGTTCAGACAAGCTAGGCCACTCGCGTGGAACACTCTCGAGACGCATCGAAAACTCTTTGCTGGACTTTCTTGCAGCGCGACTCTGCTATGAGGCATTACACATTCCTAGACACTCTTGCGAGGGACCTTTGTAAGACACTGTTGCAAGATACCTTACGGTCCTGTGCAACGGTCTTGTGAAACATGTTTGTGCAACAAACACTTTTGTTGGACACTTTGGTGGAACACTCTTATGAGACACTCTTGCTCTTGGAAAACATTCTTGTAGAACTGTAGCACAGCTTTGGAACAGAGGTCTTGACATCACTCTTGGACAAGAAGGGAAACACCGCTCCCGCCACGGGAAGTGACAGCCCATTGCCAGGACGTCACCAAATCCTGCACCTGCTACAGTTGCAATATAACAATATATGCAAACATCAGGTAAAAAGAAGAAGGGGAGACCCTCAGAGTGCGGTTTCTTCACTGTTCTCTTACACATGCAATGACAGTTTCTGCTTGGCACATCTACAATGGCTTTGTCACTACTGTGCAACCATTGACAATTGCTGCTTGGCATCTCTGCAATGGCTAAACAAAACAAAAAAACACAAAATGACAAGACCCAACTCTCTGCCACTCCTCCCCCCTTGGGGTGTGCAATATGTTCTTTTGGTTTTTGGGTGTTTTGGTTTCTTGCTTTTTGATTTTTGTTGGTTTCTTGGCTCTTTGTTTTTTGGTTTCTTGTTTTCTGGTTCGCTGTTTATGTTTTTGAAGGGCTGGCAAAACAACACAAAAGTGAAGGACCTAACTCGTTGCCAATTCGCCCACTTTAGGGGTTGCAAACTTGCTTTTGGTTGTTTTATTGATTGGTTTGGGTCTGCGGTTCCATTGGAAAACAATGTAAAAACCATGGAAAAATGCAGGTATCACTGGGGGAAGCTTAGGGGGCTTGGCGCATGGATTAGGCAATTTTGATCAATCTTGTATGTTTAAGTATTTTTCAAAATGTGTTTTAAAAACCTTGCAAAAACATAGGCAGCCAAGGAATTTGTAGAACTGATTTTGATATTGTTGAGTCAAACCCTTAAGTCAACACATGTTCAAAAACTTTACATGATTCCCTTGACAGGAGTGGTGCATCTTTTTGAAGTGAGTGCTTCTTTCAACATGTGCATTTCTTTTCAAATGGCAGAGCATCCCATTGAAGTAGGACATGTCTTAGTCTACTTCTATGTGAAAAATGAACCCTGCTGCACATGCAATGTCCTTTTCATATTTGTTAATAAAGAACACATGGTGTATGTAAGCATGTAAAAGGAAAAATGGTCCTTCATAATTGCACATCATTTCTCTGAATGAATAACGTAATGTTCTTCCAAGAAAACGAACCATATTTTGAGAATAACACCCTTTGATGTAGGCAGCTCTCCTCTTGAAAAGTGTTGTAAGTTGAGGAATGTGCCTCTGTAAATCCTAAAACAATCAAACATTGTTTGAACATATAGTATACTGCATGCATGTAGCACTCTTTTGAAAGAGTATAGTCATCCTTGAAGAATGTATTGTTTTATTTTGTGCAACATCCCTTGATATGAGTGAGATATGTGATTAAACGAATGCATTTTTGTTGGATAGTACTGAAAACATTTCTTCAAGTGAGAGTTGTCTCTTTAAACCAAAGTAAATGAAGGCTGGGCTGATCTGATCAAGGGGAAGAGTACACATGTCAAACAAAAGTAATCCCAAGAATGCTGCTTCTTCACAGGAAGATTGTGTTGCCATGCAGGACAATATTCTTTTGTAAGAAGCAAAAGAGCATTCATTTATAATGCTCACAGTTTCAAACCTATTGCACTTTTGAAAGGGATGCTCTATGTCAAGGATACTGCATATGGTGCAGAAATATTGACTTGTCTAAAAGGGGTACTGGTCCTTTGAAAGGAAGGTTAGACATGTGGAAATGCTCACTGCACTCCTTCAAAGCGCATGATGCAAGTCTTCAAGGAATACTTCATATTTTGTATGGATATTGTCCCTGCAAAAACACACTACATTGCCCCAAAGGATTACTCTTACTCAGAAGGGTATGTTGCATTTCTGTTTTGACTACTGCGTTTGTTGGCAGGTATGGGGATGTTGTAATTATCTTGAAGACATCTAGCATAGTCTGCGGAAATTGTGTTTTGTTGAAGGGACACTGCAGTAGCATTTTATTAAGATAGAGTGAACACCTGGACACTGCTTCAAGTAATACATACTCTCTAGTGGACATGAATACAGCTTCATTTGCAGCTTACGCTTTAAAAAAGGAAAGGATTATATACAGTTTTGAAAAATAAAAAAAAAGTGCGCTCTGGCAGCGTCCTGCGCTCAAAGAAAAAGCACTACGTTCGTCTGTATCGCGCTTGCCACACCAAACTCATGTCGATACACCAAATCATGCTTCAAGGCTCCAAGTGCTATGCATTTTTGGGACCTCGGAAAAGAAAAGAAACGCTAGCTGCACCGGGATTCTGCCGTAGCCCGACACGGAAACGCGGACGGTGGCGGATGGTGTCAAACGGTTGCGGTTGCTGGGAGAAGACACAGCGAATTCTGTCACAAGTTGAATGAGAACCTTTCGCCGCGCTCAAGAAAATCATTTGACAACTGCGCACAAGGGGGCCAAATTCTTCCAAACCCTCTCTGCACTTCTCAAGCGTCAGCACATGTATGCATGTGCATCGGGAGTTCAACAGTTGTTGGAGGCCTGATTCCCATGCTTTCAGGACCAAGCTTCCTTGCCACGCTGGGAAATCTCATTCTTGGCAGCAGGGCACCCCACTCTGCTCAACGATGCAAAGCATGAATCGCTTCGATGTTGCGCTTTGATTTGGCGGTCTTGCACCTGTGCAGGACACGAACTTCAAGACCGAGCTGGATGCAATATTCCTCCCCCTACTCTCACCGGAAGGCGCTAGAAGTTGGAAACTACACTGGACATCGCTACAGACGAAAAACATGCAGATCCACACCTTGCGAAGTTCTTCCTCCTGCTGCTTCAAAGATTTCTTTCGGGCCGTCACCTTTGGGATTCAGCACAATGTTCTTGACATACAATCGACAAAAATAATGTCCTCAGTCTCAGCATGTCAACTTCCTTCTATAGATAAGCAGCATTGACAAGGAGAGAAAACAAGTACGCACAGCAGGTATCTCAGCATGTCCATGCCGACAAGAAACACACAAGCATCTCCAGTCTGTTTGTAGCATCAGAATCTCTAAACGTCACACTCTAAGAGTCTTCAAGGAAACTAATTCTACTCAAGGTGAAATGGCATCTGCTGAATTGGCCTCGCTCTTTGCTTGTGCAAGTTGGGTCCTTGGCCAAGCTGCCACCATGTGACAGGATGACTGTTAGCACCAAGTTTGCACACAAGCCCCAACGGTTGCTACAAACTATCCAGGATTCCCTCCGAAGCTGCGGACAGGAAACATATCCTGACATAAAAGAAATGAAATCCATTGAAATCTCCTCTTACACCAAAAAGGCGCATCATTTTGCACATCTCTACCTTTGAGTCTTAAATACAAATCCTCTTTGAACTCCACTGTCTTGCTCGAAATGACGGCCACTTGGTATTGCGCTAGGGAAACTGAGCTAGAAATGATGGGCGTGAAATGGGATTAAAAAGTTCAAAGTCACAAAACCATCACTGCTTGAAGAGTCAAACCATCAGCATTCATCAGCAGTTAAGGTTCAACTCAAAGAATAAACAAACGAGTTCAAGCATCACCAATCGTCAGAAAGACAGCATACATGCCATTCGGACCATTCGCCAAGTTTCTATTTGTTTGGTGTCTTCTGGTTGTTTTTTTGGTTGGTATGACAGGGTGGTTCCAGGTCTCTTTTGAAAACGAATGAGATGAGCTTCAGCCTAGGTTCTGGCTGCAAGCACCTCGATTGAAGTCCTTCATCTTCTGCTTCAAATTGTCTTCGCTTGCCTCCAGCTCCTAAAACATGGAGCAGCCTTTTCATATCAATTGAACTTCAGCTCTGCTAGTACACAAAATATGTTTACATCCAGCCACAGGCATGCGCTTGTGCTCAGGTCGATGGAGCTTGGACGTGTTTTGACCCTCGCTCCTTCTTCGTCGTGCGCATCTGCTTCTCCCTTTGATCTACTGCGCGTGACAAGCCATGAACACTAGCCTCGGCTACCTCCAGCGCCAAAGTCAAAGGCCTCATGGCCTTCTCCTTTAAACTTGTGCCTGTCTCCTGACACACCACTCACCCCGCATCCCCGGGCCGATCCAACTGCAAAGAAAATGCCACAAGGCCACAAGGTGAAATATGTGAAATCATGTGAAATCAAATTTCTTGGCAGTGACATGTTCCCGTCCTTGGTGGCCCTTGCGATTTCATCTGTGCACTCTATGGCCTGACACCACGCACCCGACGAACCCATGCCCGATAACAGCTTCCAGAACCCTGTAGCCTTCAGGGCTTCAAGCCATACCAAGCCACTCCACATCTACAAACCAGTCCACGGGTCATCACAGGTCTGCCTGCTGGTCCTTTCCATGGTCCTGATGGAAAGACCAAACGAATTACGAATGTATTTGTTCTCCCCCCACCTTCTCGGAACAAGCTGCGAGGGCTGCATCTGTTGCTGGAGACACACGTGCAGCCTCTCCAATCTTGTCCGTGGCAGACTGCTCCTCGCAAGACAGACTTGTCTGCCTCATGCAGAGCTCCTGGCCAGGCTGACAAGGCTGACAAGGCTGACAGGGTGGCAACAAGCAGTAACACGCGGCATGAAATCCGATGAAATCCCATTCTTGAAAGCTTGAAAGCGGACGCTGCGAAAATGGCCTCCACCAGGGAGACCTCATCAACAAGTTCCACGCTGTGCTTCATCCTTGGTTCAAGTCTCTGCACATCTCACAACGAGGAAAGTCACTAGACAGCCTGGCCTAGAGAGCTAAACTAAAAAATGTTCTGCGCTGGCAACTGCAAATGAGGCATGAGGCAAGGCATGCCAAGCGACCATGCGTCAAGATCTTCTTCAGCCTTTGCACGGATTGTCGGCACCTTCTCCAGAGAGTTCCTTCTCCATTTTCTGCAAGCTCTTAGCTGCTCATTCACAGACTCCTGGGTTGAGAATGCATGGCTCCGCAAAAAGATTGCCATGATGCTAAACAACTATCAAGCGTGCAATGGACCTGGGACACCCATAAAAGCATATCCAGACGGATTGTTGCAACCATGCATCCAAGTGTGTCGCGAGGTTTTCATGGATGTTCTCTACTTCCACCCTCCCTTGCGCAGCTTTCCCGCCAATTTGGCTCAGTTCTGCCTGGGTTTCGTCCTGGACATCAATGATGTTGTCGAAATTCATGGGCAAAGCAAATGGCCCATCGAAGACCTCCTGGAGAGTGTCGAGATAGTCCTTCTCGCGCTTAGATTTCACCTCCTCGTACTTCTCCATCTTTGAAGTTTTCGACGAGGTTGAAATTCCTTCTGCTTCCAACACCTCGTCGACACTTCTCACTTGGTGGTGATCTCCGGAGACCTCGGCAACCTTGCCTGTCCTGTCTTCCATCTTTGCAAGCTCGGAGGACCGATGGTTCTCCATGGTCAAAGCCAACCCAGCCGCATCAATCTTCTTACCTTTCGCGCCCAAGTCTGCCAGCACCACTTTTGCTGCTGCGGTTTTCTGCTCGCATTCTTCCTGTCCACTTTCGGCCTCGCTCTTCAAGTCCTCTAAACGGTCGGACCCTGGCGGGCATGTGGCAGGCGTCAAGTCTTTTTGAAATTTGCGAGCAGTGTCCAAGTTTTCTTGAGACAGCACCTTTGCGACATCCTCAGGTCTCTCTTGACCAACTGCTGTCTTTAGCAGAGTCAGCTTCTCTTCCAGGAAATGTACATGATCTTTCACCTTCTTCAAGTGACTCTCCAATTGATTGATGGACTCGGAATGGGACTCCATGGCTGCCATGGCTTCAAGCGAGTTGAGACACAAGTTGCTGGAACCAGAGCGGCTTTCTTATCTTTCTTGCACACAGACTGCATTCCACAGCATTCAAACACTCGTGGAACAATCTTGGAACCGCAGTGATCAAGTGTGGAGCAAAGTGATTTTCTATTTCGACTTAGTACAGAACCGATATCTCCTGGAAGTACAATTCGTCGTTTATTACAGCTCTGGTACTGACATCATTTGGAAAGTAAAAGCACTGGGATGGTCGGGTGAGGCACTTTTCTGGTGGCACATGGCAACCTTGCTGATATGGCCAGCTGCGCAATTCACAAGAGAGTCTCTTCGTTCTTGCAGAGATATGCTTGCGCACTTGCTTCTGCTACTATAATTTGCAAAGAAAATGGTGTCCATTTTCCGGTTTGGAAAGGACCTCCTAGGGTTTTGCCCAGCATGTGAATCCTGCTGTACAACAACAATGCAGACATCAGGGTCTGAAGGATCACTGTCTGGGCAGCTCTGGTCCTGGGCAACTCAGACTATACCAATTTGAGTTGCGCCTCTGTTCAGCTCTATAGCTTTATCGAGTGACCAGAGAGCTTCACACACCCCGCACACCAAGCACTGCCGACTCAACAGTGTGGCACAGGCAAGGCCAGCCATCTGCGTTGCAATTGTCTGCCTAAACAGGACTTGGTCCATCTTCAAGTGCAGGATCTGGTGGTTGGCTGGGACCTGAGGATGGCGTCTTACCGGACCGTTTACGAATCTGTTTGTTGGGACATTTTGGTATGAGTCTTCGTCACGTACTTGGAAAAAACTCAGAATGTCTCCTGGGTCTACTGTTAGGTTAATGGGATGCAGCTTTCTTGAGTTTGACCGAGGCCGCTATCGTGGCAGGAAGAAAATTGCAAAGATTTTTTTGCGAGGACTCACAGTTGTTCCTGACGGGTTACCGAGCCAAACTCTTTTGGGAACTAATGGTACAATAGCGTGCAACACAAAATAGATACCAACCCGGCAGGTAGGAACTAGTCAAAACAGACCCGGTCACAAGGCAGATCAGCTGAAAAGGCAGGGGCCGTCCAAAAGCGGCTTGTGGAAAAGCAACTCATCTGTAACCCGCTTCATATTACGAAAATTCCCAGCACGAAACCAAGTCATGGGCACCAAGAAATGGAAGTGAATAGAATCAAACACTGAATAAAACTGACTGAGACTGAGGATTTGATAGAATTGTGAAGATCTGTCATGCGCTAATCCAAAGCTGTGCCCGGACCTGCCTTCGTCCTCCAGCATCTCCCATAGGGTAGTGGTGTCTGAGCCTCAGTATCAGTTCGATGAGAAAGCGGGATGTAGAGAAGCTGCTTGCGGAACTGCCGGAAGCTGCTATGCACTTTGCATCGTTATGGATCTTTTTCCAACCCTCATTCAATTGTTTGGTCTTTTTCATCACTAGAAAGTGTATGAGACGCGTCAAACATAAATCTCCTTTCCCACGTGGAGACATTGCAAGGAACAAAAAGTGAGCTGCCAATGCCTAGCTGAGGCTGAGGATGGTACAGGTGTCACTACGATCATCCTTGCAGGCTTGCAACGCTTGGAGCTGTTGCATCTGTTGCTTCAAGACCTTGTTCTCTCGTTTGAGCTTCTGGTTATCTTCTTCGAGTTTCTCTTTCTCTTGTTCAAGCTTGTCATTCTCAAAGCGGTCGTAGTCTTCCTGCACCGCAAGTTTGACAAGGACACGATGACTGCAAAGGCCGTAGCATGCTGTAGCTGTCCAAGTCCGTCGTAATCACAACACAGACACAACTGCCATTTCACCAAGTGAATCTCTGGCCAAACTGGATTTACAAACCGTCGGTGGCAGGCCTGGATTGCCCATTTCTCATATTTCTCCTGAAGCGTCTCTTGGACAATTTTCTCGATAAGGGAAGGAACTTCTGTCCTGCAGCTGAATAAAGGCCAGCAATGGCAAATGTATGGACACTTTTTTTTTGGAAAGCATCTATCCCGAACAGTTAAAACTGTTTCCATCCTTGAAACTTATTTGCACATATTTGCACCACATACTCCATCACAAGCGATTCAAAACCGTGATCTTCGACAATTCTAGCTCGGGGCATCTAGCTCAAGGAAGCTTAAGAACCTGAGAGTTAGAGGAACCTGAACCTGGAAGGGTGATCCAAGTGATCCAAGTACACTAAGTACACGAGGCTCTGTGTCTGTTCAACTGGCTGAACCGGTCCAAGATTCCACAATGCATTGGACTCCGGCCCAGGAGTGCCCACTTCAGGAATTGCCTCCGCCTCTTGCACCTCCTGGAGTGCAAGAGAAAAAACTGTCCAAGCTGTCCACTTTCCATTTCAGGTATTTGGTCTCCATATGTCTCTATCACTTGTTTATCATGCCAGGGTCTGCATCCGTTCTGATTCCAGCACAAGCAACAACATTTGCACATCAGATTGCGCAATGTCACCAGTCTCCCGCACTGTCAAGACTCAAACTCACCTGTGGGACTTGGAACATCTCAAACTCGCCGGCATTCTCTTTGACCTTCTCCAAGGTAACGCTTAGCGGCTTAGCAAAGCTATATAAAGCTGCACAGAAATGCCATCTGCCCAATCATTCAAAAAAGTCGCAAAAGCCTATGCCTTGCTGCGCGGCGAGATGGCGGGCTTGTGAAAGGAGAAGGTCACGTGCTCCAGCCATCGCAGAGACTCGTATTGAAACTCAGCTTTGCCTTTGCTTTCCTGCACCTGGAGAAGATATCATGGATTTCAAGAACAAGGAGAGGATGACAACCTTGGTCACATCCAACTGATAGAGGAAGCTGGATGCCACTGGAAGCCACACTGGCAAAGAGTGGAAGAAAAGGGCAAAAAAAACATCTTGTCAACAGATGCAAAAAGCACCGCACCTTGCAAAGTTCTTCTTTCTGCTGCTGCAAGGACTTTCTTCTATCTTCCACCTTCACAGATTCAGCAGAAGGCTCTTGACCTATTCTGGTCTTCACTTGGAATCTAAGTGCTTGCTGTGTTATGGCAAGGCAATTCCATTCAGCACCCAGAATAAACGAAACTAGCACCTCAGATTGTCTGTACTGTAGTACTATCCAATTCATATCTCAGCAAGGTCGTCTGGCTGAGCCACGAAAAGGCATGACACTTCATCAAGACCTATGCCTATAGGTAAAAGCAACAACGCAGGCGCAAGAGATACACTGGCCTCGCTCATTGTTTGGGCAAGAGCAGTCCTGAGTCCGTGCGCGGTTCCTGTCTCAACAAACGTCACTCGGCTCAATGTCCGTTTTTCAAAGAGACGTTGACGACTCATCTTGCTTGACTGAAAGCAGCTCTTGCGGCACATTTGGCTTGGCTTCGTTCAAGGTTGAAAACAAGACACGATGCCACATAGCGAAGGTATCGGGGAAAAAACAAAACATTCAAACCCAAAACTTCAAAGACAGTTTGTCAACAGTTGGGAAACTGACGACTTGAAGCTACACAACCCTGAGAGGCGACGTGAATTTCAGATACTTTCAGCCTAGGTTCCGGTCACCTCGATTGAAATCCTCGGTCTTCTGCTGCAAAGCGCGCTCGAATGCTGCCAGCTCCTGGGACGAAGGTGTTACTCTGAGACCCTAAGCACTACCTTAAACTTAGAACATCAATCTCGATGGCCACCAATGGCCACAAAGTCTCCAAAATGCAAAGACTATGAAAGGCTCCCAATGTTAGAGCACAAAATGCAGAGAGTTTGATTTCAACTTATGTATGTTTATGCTGCATGTTGCACGTGTATAAATAGATGAATATATAATATACACAATTATTTTAAATATACTATATTTTTCTGGTTCTGGGTCATTTGAATCTGGCTGCTCCTTCTCCGTCACCTGGATCTGTTTCTTCTTCTGATTTTCTGCACGTAACAAGATGTTCAAGGCAACCTGGGTGCCCTCCATGGCCAAGGTCGAAGGCAGCTGAGCCTTCTCCCTCAAACCTGCGGCTGTCTCCTGGAATTCAATCCGCAAGGCCAAACGAGAATCAAGTGTAAATCGCCCAACGGGCCCATGCTTGGCAGAATCTCTCCTTGGTGATCCTGTCGATTTCCATTTTGGTCTCCACAGCCTGACTTAAAATCAAAGAAAAGGTTCTGGCTTGCGGTTCTGAGGTGCGAAGTGCTAAGCAGGGTGTGAAAGCTGCCGCTACTGATACTCAGAGCTGATCACAAACACTTTGTGTGGACTCGATGGAAAAGTCATGTTCTCACTTGGCCTGATTGGTGCACGATGCGAGGGCTGCATCTGCTGCTGGAGAGATGTCGTTCGCCCGATTGATCTCGTCCAGGATTGCTTGCTCTTCGATCTGCAGTTTTGTCTGCATCATGCTCTGTGCCTGCTCAGCTTTCAGCAACGAGACTCACAAATATTCAGAAAGAATTGGAAAGCCGAAGGGGAACAGTAAATGAATAGGTGTCCTGAATGGTGCATCGACTGCATCCAAAACTGCCTCGTTAGTGATGACAGCGTCTTTGTATTTGCCAAGCTCTCCCGTCCTCGGCTCGTGTCTCTCTCCCTCTCTCTCGATCTGCAGGACATTCACAATAAGACAGGAAAGTCACATGATGTGATTTTCGCAAAACTGATCTATAAGAGCATCAACAAATTTCTGAGAAGTATCATCTGAGAAATCAAGGAACGCCGAGTGACAGAATTTCAAGAGCCTTCTCGACCTTTGCAAGACGTGTCTTCTCAATCTGATCGGCATCCTTTTTTCTCTTCTTGCAGAGCTTTTGCTGTTCCTGGATGGAAACCTTGGTTCAGAACGCGTTGCTGAATAGCTACAGATTGACATGATTTCGCAACTCCGATGCACAAAGGCACTGAGACA